TGGTGGCATATTCACCAAAATCCATGGGAGAAGATTCATCATGGTGGCATATTCACCAAAAGAAAAATTCTTGTTCTTTGTTTCATGTGGAATAAGCAACTCCTTCACACTGAAAATTCATCATGGTGGCATATTCACCAAATCCATGGGATAAGATATGTAGATGCTACAATAAACTATTTCGACTTTGTATATGTTGACATATTCTCTGTCCATTAATTGGATACAATGGTTCAAGAAATAGGGTAAGTAAAAGGGAAAACTTTGTACTATTATTTTCTTATTCTAGAAGTAGAGTTGGACTTGGTCAATTACATCTAGGAAACAATAGATATGTGCATATATTGTCAACATATGTAGAAAAAATAATAACCAACTAAGTATTTACATAGAGTATGGACACACAAGGGTTAAAAGTTAGTTTTATCCCTAACAAAGGTTGTTATTGAGGACTTGATTAATGATGTGTCCCCTGAGCAAGACAGGAACTAAAGGAAGAGAAAAGATGTTGGATCTTCTAGTAGAAAACTAGACTACTCCTAGTCTTATGTGCCATACAGACAATTTGGTGGACCTTCCCAAGTGATCCAGGGTATTGATAATATTGGATGCTCAAAAAGGAATGAGATTTTATTAAATATGAATGAAATTAAGCTCCAGACATAGATGAGGAACCTGTCATGGATGATGAAGCTATAATGAGTACTGAGTTTGATAGTAAGGATAACGAATTTCATAGTGAGGATGATTCAACTAAAACAATGTTTGATGAGAAACCTTTGATAGATGGTGTGGAAGTGAACATGATCAATTGTTATACCGTAGTTGATGAAGACATTGACTTGGGGCATCCTGATCAGACAAACAATAATAAAGAGGTATACGAAGATAATGAAAATGAACCTTCAGAAGTTTTAGATAATGATATGTTTGAGTCAGTTGCTAGTGAACAAGAAAGTAGGGATCTACATTATATAAATAATGACAAGACAAGACTTAGGGTAAAGTGTAGGGGTGTTTTCCATGAATTGCTGGTGAAACTAATAAAGGCAAGGTAAATTTAGTACTTTCCATTGAAAGAACTTGTCCATGGGTTCGTTTAGTCTATAAGTCAAATAAAAAACAAGTTTGGACTGTTAAAACATATGAAGATTCTCTTACTTTTTTTGCAAACAATTACAATGAGGGATTCCTCATCATTTTTTTAGCTAACAACATACTACATCAAGCTAATAGTAACCCCAAAATTCATGCATGTGCTTTATAGGAGGACTTGGTATAGAGGTATTCACTTTCATTATCAAATATGAAAGTATTCCGGGCTAAAGCTATACCAAAGAAGTATGTCTTTGGAGAATATAAAAAGCAATATGGTCTTTTGAGAGACAATGAAATGGGATTGCAGTCTAAGAATCCAAGAAAAACTGTCAAGATCGAAGTCTAAACTAAACCTACCTTGTGTTCTGAAACAAGGATTTTCAAATGCATACACGTATGCATGGTTCCATTAAATGAAGGACTTAACAAAAGTTTGATGAAGTCTCGTTGATTTGATGGTGCGTGTTTGAAGGGTCTCTTTCCTGGATAGATCCTCAACGCAGTTGGGCTTGACTCGAACATCGACATTTACCAAGTTGCATATGCCATTGTAGAAGTTGAAATATTGACTCTTGGACATGGTTTTTGGAACTTTTAGGTGATGAATTGGATTTGCATCCTTCATCAAACATCACTTTAATTTCAAATCGGAAAAACGGACCCTCTAACTTCATCTAAATTCACCTTATTATTTTCATTTAGATTTGTATTTCGTTACTAAGTTATGTTGACTGTACTCATAGGGAAATTTACCTGCCATAGCCAAGAATTTTCAAACAGCTGAGCATAGGTTCTATAGACATGTGTTTGAGAACATGAAGTTGCAGCACAAGGGAGATGAACTGAGGGAAGCCATATGGAAGTGTGGAAAATAAAGTAGAATACCAAGATTTGTAAGGGTATGGAGGATCTGAAAAAGCTTAAACTACAAGCTCATGAGTTCTTAACTAAAATTTATGCTACACACTGGGCAAAACTGCACTTCTATGGTATGTATGATACTATTTTCAATAACATATTTTATAATTGATTTCACTAACTCAATGTCTTTTTTCATACATAGGAAGGGAATCACTGATAGTTTGGCAAATAACTTGTGTGAGGTGTTCAACTCCAAGTTCGATGAGGCTAGGGAAAAGCCTATAATCACTTGTTTGGAATTTATAAATGAATACATCAAAAAGATAATAGTAAATATTCATAAAGTTTTAGGTAAATGAAAAGGTTCTGTCACTCCAACTTCAACAACAATATTAGAAGAAATAAGGAAAAGTGTTTCACTTTTAGGAATTGTGACATTACAGGTATTCCATGCAAGTATGTTATTATTGTAGTGTATGATAAGCTGAAAAATGGGTCAGAATGTGGAGATCTCGAGGATTGGGTGAATAAATGCTACTAGCTTAGTACATACATTGCTATGTACCAACATATAATTGACCCAATAAATAAAAGGAGCATCTAGCCTAGATTTGATTGTTTAACAATCCTTGTCCCACCCATACATCACAAGGAGGTTTTTTGATTTATTTGTTTTTCATAATTTGATTTGAAAAGTTCACTAAACTTTTTGATATGTGTCATTATCAAATTATATAGGTTTGCATGCCAAAGATAAAAGGGAAGAGGGTAGCTAATAAGCTAAGTCAAAGTACTAGTTTAAGCAGGACATACTTGATAGCCACTTGTAGCAAATGCCAATAACAAAGGGCATAATGCTAGGACAAGCAAGGACAGGGAGGTCCAAGTGAAATTGGAAAGGGGAGTAGAAAGATGAAGAGGAAAGCACCTGCAGTTTAGATTTTAAATTAAGTTCTAAGTTAGATTATGATATTGTTTGCTATTATGTTAAGTAGTAATTTTGTCTAAGTAGTTACCATGTCTTTTGGCTTGTAGAAACAATTACTTATGGTATTGGTATTTGGTTATGGTATGTTTTTAAACTTGATATTGTTTAATGGCATTTTGGTTAATGACATTGCACTTGCACAATCATATGTTAGATGCATTGTGCTTAATGATTCATCACATTTTGGTTAAAGGTATTTTGGTATAATATGTTTGCATTAGGATACTTTCAGTTTTGGTAATGCCAATTTGGAACGTGGTATTTTGGTTATGGTATTGCATGTTAACATTCAAGTTTATACTTAGTTGTAATCAAATGAACAATTTTCTTCTTTGCTAATACCAGTTCACATTAAAATGTAAAATGGTTGGAGCTTACATTACATAATATAACCATTACATGTTGTTGTCCCAACAAGATAAAATCACAAGGAAATACTTCAAAAGTTTATAACAAAAGACAACACAAAACTAATTTTCCCGAAAAGCTAATACTTTTTACTTGAAAAAGTAACACACCAAGATTATTTGTTCCTAGGAGCAACCCCATAAGCAAAAATAATTGACCTAAGGCACATGGGACGATCATTCCATCCACAAAAACTGCATGTTCCTCCAAGCTTTAATTTGCACCAGAAGCGACAAATAGGGTCTAAGTCAGTCCAATATGTCATCAATACAACCGGCCTTCCCATAATGGCATATCACCATCTACATTTCCTTTCATGGATCTTGAGTGGGGAAGAATGGAAGAAAGAGAAGGAGAGGTAGAAGGAAATAGAGTTGGCGGCAGTTTAATAATATGATGCACAACTAACTAAAAAGACGAAAATATCTTAACTCTAACGGTCTAAAAGTGACGGAGTTACGGTCAGGGACCAATTGCGTCACGAACTGAAACCATAATGACTAGTTGTGTGACGTTTTCGAAAGTTGTCCTCAAAGTGCGATTTTTATAAACCATAGGGACCAATTGTGAAAGTTTGCCTAAATATAAATAAAAGTTAAAATGGTATATAATTTTTTTATGTGGGTGAGGGACAAACCATGATAGAAATTAGAAACCATAGGGACTTTCTATGAAATTTTTAAACATTAGTGAAATTCCCCAAAGTACAACCACATAACCAAATAACACATATACAATAACTGATGGGTTTGATCCATAAGAACTTTCCTATGTGCACATGCAAACCCTAATGCTTAGATCTAGTTTTCTCTAATTGTACATGCATTCATCCAAGACTTTGAGACCGTAGATCTAGTGTATATAATTCGAATTTGACATAAGAAACTCAGATCTAGAAGATTACCTCTTGTTGCTTGCTTGAATCTTCTTGTTCTTGGAGCTTAGAGTCACAAGTGTAACTCCTCTAATGGCTTACAAACACCAAATAGCAAGAGGGTAGTATAAGAGAGAGGGAGGAGGCACACAAAATCGGCTCTAGGGTTCTTAGAGAAGCAGTGGCAGATTTTTGTACCCTAGGGGTTCTATTTATACTGTTAGCAGCTAGGGTTTCAGTCAAAACCCTAATGGACAGCTTAAACATTAAGCAGCCCATGGAACCTTCCGGAATAAGGCCATGGACGAAAATATGATGGGCTCCCATCATAATTTCGTTCATCCCTTTGTCCCATAGGGTTTCCCAGCCCAAAATCCAACTATCACACATTTGACAGTTTAAGTCCCTTTATTCAATTAATCTTAATTAATTTATAACTAATATTAATTGAATAATATGATTATTCCTTTTAATATATTATTCTCATAATATATTAATACAATCATAATATCTTCTCTCTCTCCATAAATTGCCCTGTCAAGTTGCTATGGTGAAGGCAACCCAAAAGGACCATGCACAACCGGGTCAAGTACTTGCCAAATATAGTACGGGCATAGACACTAATCCAACAGTCTCCCACTTGGATAAGTCTAGTAACTACAAATGCAAGCACTATCAGATTAGCAATCGTAGCTCTCAAAGACGCTGTCGAACTCTGATCTTATCAGTAACCTGTCCTTTAGATAAGGAATCGTATAATCCTCTGTTCTAGATATCGTGCGGACAATTACATGGAACATAGTCATTCTTATTTGTCCAGCAGTTAGTTTCTCGATCTCATATTCATTTGACATAGAACTTAATTGAACACATCAATTTAGTCCTGACTGGGCCCAACACATAAGTCAAATCCAATCATCGAGGGGCCCTGATATCGCTTTTACCCTCTTAGGATAAAAGGAACAGATAAACTTCGACTTATATGCATTTATCATCTGCTAATCAAATCATACACAACAATGCGTTTTATAACATCAAGTTACTGATGCGTTTACGCATTATCAATGCACAGCCAATTAGAAAACAATAAACCATATATCTAGGTTTTAAGATCATATGATATTATCATCTTGCGATCACTCGTGATAAATTCCATGAAGTGATTCCAGCAAGTGTGGGTTTATTCCAATGCTCAATCAAGTTCACAAGCACTCATGAACGTTGCAGCAAACTTTTGCTATGTATAATACACTTTATACAATCTACACACCAATTCATGACAGTCTTCATTCATATCTACTTCCAACATATGAACGACTGTGGACCGTTCGATTAATTCAATTATTATCAAATAATTCAATTATTCAGGAAGTCAAAACATGCAAAATGAAACAATATGTAAAAGATTAACATAAAACAGTAACATTAATAATAAATAATACTCTTTTATTTAATCATCAAATGTTAATTACAATTTATGTATTACACGTTTCCAAACTATCTAATCTAAACTAATATCATCGTTCAGCCCGATGTTCCTAGCATGCTGCAAGTGCTTAACCCTGCTCAGTCCCTTCGTAAGCGGATTCGCTGGGTTATCTTCTGACGATACCCTCTTTACCACGAGGAGTCCTTCTTCCACCGGATGTCGAATAAAGTGATATTTTCTGTCGATATGTCGGGATCTACCGTGATCTCTTGGTTCCTTGGTCAAGGCAACCGCTCCTTCATTATCACAGAAAATCTCCATGGGCTCCTTTATGGCTGGCACAACTCCAAGGTCTCCAATGAAGTTCTTAAACCATATTGCCTCCTTTGACGCCTAGCTCGCTGCAATGTACTCTGATTCGCACGTTGAATCAGCTACGGTCTCTTGCTTGGAACTTTTCCAAGTCACTACTCCTCCATTATGGGTAAAGACCCAGCCCAAATGCGAACGGTAGTTGTCCCTATCGGTCTGAAAACTGGCGTCACTGTACCCTCACACCTTTAATTCTCCCCCCCCCCCCCCCCCGAGGACTAGAAACCATTCCTTGGTCCTCCGAAGGTACTTAAGAATATTCTTGACTACGGTCCAATGTGCTTTGCCAGGGTTCCCTTGATATCTGCTGACCACGCTCAAAGCGAAGGCCACATCAGGGCGAGTACAAGTCATAGCATACATGATTGAGCCAACCGCGGAAGCGTAAGGTACGCGGCTCATCTCTTCTATCTCGATTGCAGTACTCGGACTTTGAGTCTTACTCAACTTGGCATTACAACTCCCCTTTCTTTGAATTCTCCATACTAAAACATTTTAGTACCTTGTCCAAGTAAGTATTCTGACTAAGTCCTATTAGTCTCTTACTTCTGTCTCTCACTATCCTTATTCCCAAAATATAGGAAGCCTCTCCGAGGTCCTTCATAGCGAAGCACTTCCCGAGCCAGTATTTAACTTCCTGCAGTGTCGGGATGTCGTTTCCTATGAGTAGTATGTCGTCGACATACAATACGAAGAAGCTTACTACACTCCCACTGGCTTTGACATATACACATGATTCATCCTCGCTTCGCAGAAAACCAAACTCTTTGACCTTCTCATCAAAACAAAGATTCCATCTCCGAGACGCTTGCTTATGTCCACAAATGGACTTTTCAAGCTTACACACTCTATTGGGATGCTTCGCATTGACAAAAACCTCTGGCTGAGCCATGTAAACATCCTCAGCCAACTTCCCATTAAGGAAAGCGGTTTTGACATCCATCTGCCATATTTCATAGTCATGAAATGCAACAATGGCCAGCATCACCCTGATAGACTTTATCTTCGCAACTGGTGAGAAGGTTTCATCGTAGTCAACTCCAGGAGTTTGAATGAAACCCTTCGCAACCAATCGCGCCTTATAAGTGTGCACATTCCCATCCATGTCGGTCTTCTTCTTGAAGATCCACTTGCACCCGACCGTATTATGACCTGGTACATGATCAACCAAATTCGAAACTTGGTTGTCATACATGGACTGAATCTCGTTGTTCATAGCCTCTTTCCATTTTGTAGACTCCGGGCTTGCCATGGCTTCCTTATAGTTGTTAGTTTCGTCCAAATTCACTAGTGTACTATCACTAATTAACGTATCCCCTTCTGTAGTAATATAAAAACCATAAAACTAGGGTGGAACACTAACCCTTTCGGAACGTCTAAGAGGTAAGGACTCGTAAATCAATTCAACCGGAGTTTCCTCCTCGGGTTGAGCGCCAGTGTTAGAGGTTCCCTCATCGCTCGACTCTTGAA